AGGAAAGAAGGGAAAAGAAAAAATATGAGAAAAGGAACAAAATGGAAACAAAGTCTTTGCAAATAGGGAAGGGTGGAGGGGGTGAAGGGAGGGCAGGGGAAGGGGAAAAATAAGAACCAAGATACATCATGTAATAGTACAAGATCCCAATTATGTATGTAAATGTATTTTATACCTAAAATGTACCAATAAACTTAATGGGGGAAAAAAAAAGAAAAGAAAAAAATGGAAATGAAACCTATGTAAATAGGGAAGGGTGGAGGTGGAGATGGGTGCACAGGCAATGGGTGAAAATATAAGAACCAAGATACATCATGTACAGGTAGAAGCACCCAATGATAAATATAAATGTGTTGTATACCTAAAATGTACCAATAAAAGAATTTAAGAAAAAAATATTCATTAATTGTGAAAATTTAGCAAAAGCTGCACTTGAAGGGCTGCTAACCTTATGCTGTTTTATTCAGTAGCACTAGTCGGTCTTTTTGTCATCACAATCTGATGCACTGTTCTTTTTACATATACGGGTCTTAGCATTATATTCTCTATCTTGTGTAAAAGTCATGGTTAAATTTAGTCTACAATTTCCCGTGGTTTAACAGTCAGTCATGTAAGAAACCTCTGTTCTCAATTACTTTTTTCAAGTTTTTAAACTATTTTCACATATTTATGCCTCCAGATGAAACTTTACATAATTTTGGTTGGTTCCCAAACCAGTTCTTTTGGAATTTTAATTGGGATGATGTTAAACAAATAGATTTAATGTGGAAATAATTTATCCAATTTTAATGTTTTTTTTCTTCCCTTTGTATTCTTCATTTGTATCTCTCTATTGATTTTTATTGATTTTTCCATAATAATCTTATCACTTTTTTGTTTGTGCTACTTTATGTCACTCTTGGTATTGTGTTTAGAATGTTTTTGTCTGCTGGTATTACCTTTTAATTGGCTGTTGTTATAAAGTAATCGGCTTTTGTTTTAATTACACTGAATTTTTAAATTTAGTTTGGCAGTTCTTTTTTAGTCCTGTAGCCTTGACTATTTAAAGAACTCTATCTCAGAATAATGTTAATTTCATCCCTCTTTTAATAGAGATGCTTTGTATTTATTTTTCGTATTATCATATTGAGTAGAATGTCTGGAACTACACTGCATTGATTATGTGCAATAGCCAGCACCCTTTGTTATGATTCACCATTTGTAATGATGCTGTTTATGTTGAACTTCAAGAGAATGCATTGTCTTGTTTTTAAATTTTTGGTGCATAGTTTAAAATAAGAAATGTTTTTGAATTTTACCAAATTTTATATATTCTCTTTGTATAGAAATAGTTCTTAATTTCTCAGTTACTATTATTGCTAAGTATTGCATGTTTATTTCCTTTCTACATGTCTCAGTTTATGATATTGTTTTATTTATGAATTTCTGAAGCTAACTGCTCCCTGAATTTTACTGAAATGACAGTGTTTAAGCATGTGGGTTTGACTGGGTAGTTTTGCTTCTAGAAATTGAGCAATAATCACTATCAGCAAATGATAAATGGCATCAGAAACAATAATTTTTCTCTTGACACTAGTGAAAGAATCTATAATACTGTCTCTCTTGATTTGGAATTTATAGACTTAGATCAGTAAAGATTGGTGCATATGAATTTCTTAAATTTCATAACATCTTCTCCAAGGTTAGTCCTTAGTGACTTATTATAGCTCTTGAATTTTTTATGAAAAATAAAATCTTTAAACGTTTTAGACTGCTGTGGGCCTAATGCTCTTACTATGAAGTTAAATATAAAAGCTAGGCAAATTGTGAGACATATGTACAAAGGAGTAATTGATCAGAATGAGTAAAATAAGGGACTATAAAATATAAATATGTGCACATGGCAACGGAAGCAGAATTAAGCTTATAATTTTAGATCTGTCACAGGTGCACAGAAGCTAAATAACTAATAGCAATTTTCACAGTAAGTATATTTCAAAAGATGAAAAATTTTAAATAGTTGAATATGTTAATATTTATTATACAGTTTTAGAATTCATACAACCTAAATCCTTATAGCACTCACCACCTGTACAGTTTTGTGTGTTTCCCAGCACAGGTATCAGTGAGAAAGAATCACTGAATGAATGATAAATGGCTTCTTTCTGAAAATTGTTCAGATTCTTTATGGAACACTTAACAAATGCAAAGATGAAATTTCTGAGTTCAGGAAAGACACACAAAATGAAAAACAACAATGTTAGGAGATTTAACATGTTTTCTACAAAAACAATTTTAAATATTTTAAGTTTTAAGCATGTTCTGACAAAGGATTTCATGAAGAGCTTGCTTTATGTAAGCATAGTTTATTGAATTGTCAAGATATTTGCTGATGTATTCATGCTGCTTTCAGAACTCGAAACCTTATAAATTCAAAAGAAAATGATAATTATTTCAGTTTCAAATACCAAGCGAAGTCAATTAAAGTAAAATTTGGCAATAGCGTGAAGTGGTTAGTAGTCTTTTTGTATATTTCTTTTTTTATTATAAACAATAGAGTAAATGCATTAGTAAATATTTTCAGTATTCCATAACTTTAATGCTGAAGCTATATTGTAAATATCCGACTTCTTATAACCAAGAATACTCTTTAACTGTTGTTTCTCACTCTTGACAGATCTTGGTCTCAACAATAAATTCGTTGGGGAAGTGTCTAATCTTCCAGCATTTATCAATGGCACGTTTGTTGAAACCTGGGAGAAATGTACAAAAAAGTGGCTTTTGAATTTTTGATGTATATGAAAAAATACATAAACTTGCTCTTCACTTTTCTCTGAACTCTATCTTCACTCTTTTCTATCATCCCAATAACAGGGCGAAAGAAGTGATAAATTGCTTACCTAGTAAAAGGTCTCTGCGGCGAAGGCGGAAGGATTTTCTGTTGTTGCAAAGTTGGTAAATGAAGCTGCCTAGGTTACTGACATCACGAATTTCTTCAACAGCAACCAGGTCTTCATGAACCACATAAGTACGAGTCAAGTATTTGCCACTCTGTAAATGAAAAAAAAATTGAAATGAGAAAGTCTTAAAAATATTATTTCAATTCCTACCTATAACACAGTTTTTAAAAATACACATTTTAGAGTAATTTTAGAATCACAGCATGTTTATTACTTAGCTTTATTTTTGATTTACATGTAAATACTAATAAATTTCAGTATGATATTACCACATATTCATACAATGTGGACTGATTAAATCTAAATTCACTTGATCCACTGGCCCACTACTCCCTTTCCAACTTTTATTAATATTTGTAACTATTCTACATTCAAGTAGTTGATTTTTAGCTTCCACATATGAAGGAGAACAAGAAGTATCTGTCTTTCTGTCTGGCATATTTTACTTAACATTATGTCCTCCAGTTCCATCCATTTTGCAACAGCATACTTTTTTATTCAAAAATTATTTCAAATAAATGAAATATTTTGGCTGAACTCATTAATTTTTCAGGATTAGGACACAAAATTATTTGGAAATGCTCATAGGAAAAATTGCCCTTCAAAATACGTACTGCAAGTTTGCCAAAGAACTCCACCAGATTCTTTGGAGGCATAACAATGGAGGTATTCAGGGGCATCAGATAGCAGTTCCCCAGGAGCAAGTCTAGGTAAGCAGTCATTCCCTGTTGTGGAGAGGTAAACGTTGAGTAAAATGGAAGTAGGGAGATAAATCTTTTTCAAAGGAGAAAGCGATCAACAGATAGAGGAAGGGGGGAGGGGAGAGAATGGAGATAAAAAAAAGTAATTAAGATGTGTTATGCACAACTCCACACAAGGAACATACACATTATGTAACATACTCATGTACTAATAAAGAAAATGATCTGAAAAAAGCAAGTTGAAAGTAAAAAAATAAAGAAGAGATCAACACCATAGATTTTTTGACCACCATTAGAATAAACAGCTATATTTTCCAAATTTAACTAATGTGTATTCAATAGCAAAACAATTAAAAGGCTTTGCTTCAAGTAGTGTACATTTGTGAATGAGCTTAATATTTGTCATAAACTAGAAAAAAAAAGAATTCTAGAATACCTCTAAGAATGAGAAACCCACCTTTTCAAAGTCATGAATGATTGCTGCAGGATCACTATCAGAGAAACTGGGAACAGGCACATCAATGATTGCAATGTTGTCATCCTCACGAATGTCAGCCTCCTCAGTTACAGGCAGGAAGTAAGGCTCTCCTCCACGAAAAGAATTTACAGGGTCCTCAGAATCAAAGAAGCACATCTCTCCATGGTAAATGGTGCTCTGAAAGACAAAAGAAAAGTTCAAACTTTCTAATATCAGTACCATGACATTTGAATAATTTCATACACTTAAATTTATTGTATTGTATGTGAAGCTGAGATTTGTTGATTATAATTGTCACTATGAAGAAAAATCAATCTTATGGACTGAAATGTAATTTGAAAACTTTCCTTAAATCCTCATTTCTCTGATGATAACCACAGAATTATTTAAATTGAGACTTAATATATAACAAGAAGTAATTCAAAATAGAATAAATTATAATTATTATTACCTTGGGTACGAAGTATTTGTAAATGCAGGCTCCACCAACAGTAAATCCTGCCAAGATGAATGAAAGGCCTAAGAGAGTAAGCATACATCTCTCAGAGGTGCCCTCATTTTCTTCGGTGGCAATTTGAAGCTCCTATTTATTAAAAATCAAAATAAAAAACCAAACCAGATTGTAGTTTTTGATATTTGTTACTTCATACAATTTATCTCCCTTGAAACCCAAGATATTCAAAAAGGTAGCAAGTCACCCTAGTCTAAAATCATTTCAGTACAACTTATGATCTCTAATAGAGGTGACAATATCTCCAATTATTAAAACCTTCCTTTCCAAACTCAAATACAGATATGAAGTAACTTCAAACTATGCACTCCTAGAATCACACTAAAAGTTATTCATTGATCCGTTACATTCTATTTCTATTTCAAAACACTTAACATAATATCTACTGTGAATAAATTTCTAATGCATTATACAGTATTGTTAACTGCGATATAGGCACCATGTGGTATAGCTACAGAGATAAATTTATGTCTTTTTAAATAAATTGAAGTAGTTACCTTTTAGACTTGTATAGTAATATATTCACCAACTTTCTGAAATATAATTATTCTTCATTACTATTTTTTGTAAATCACTTTATTTGCCAACTTAAAGGATAATTAGTATCTTTTGATTTGTTAACTAATTTTCAAAAGGCTGTTTTCTCAAAATTAGCCTTTAAAGGAAAACATTCTAAAAGAGGGGTATATGCTATTTCCTCTTATTTTAGAAATTAAAATATTGAAAGCAGAGTTATACTTCTTAATATCATCCAATATTTTACAGCTGTGTATTGCATCAGTGAAACAATTTTTACAAACCTTGGGTTAAAAACTAGATTTTAAAGTACAGATTTTCTACACACAAAATCTGCCTGTGTAATGGTGACTTTAATATACTACAAGCGCTGAGGATTTAGCTCAGTGGTTCCGTTGCCTGCCTCGCAAGCGCAAAGTCCAGAGTTCGATCTCCGGTACCAAAAAAAAAAAATAATAATTATAAAAAAATAAAATATAACAAAATAATAATTTTCTTAGGAATTAGAAGAAGAAAGGTCCAAAAGAAAGAAGTAACTGCTTAACTGTACCTTTCCCACTGCAGTGAACTGGAGGGCTTCCTAGTCTCTTTTTTGTAATTTCAATGTATTTCTCACCAGTATTAATACACAATGGCGACTAAATGGAGTCAGCAAATCTGGGACCTGATATTCCAAGAGTAAATTGCTAAGACAGGTATATGAATAGAATTGTTTTATCTTTTCTACAATTGACTATTTTTCATGACAACTACTGTAATGTCTATAAGATCTAACTAACTTTAAGGTAATTTGATGAAAATAAATGCATGAATTTGAAGTTAAAATAGAAAAAAAAAGTCAGACAATCATTTGATTTTTTTCAAAAAAAGATTTTTCATTAAAACCCAACATTTGATTTTCACATTTTCTCAGCTAAATTTATTTAAGTTCATTCCCTCCATTAATACTCTAAATTTGATGTCTTTGCTTGGCCCCAATAATTTTGATCTTTTAATTATTTTTATTAAAAATCTAAACTAAAATTAGCACTACAAAGACAAAATTTTAAATTTTGATTGGGAATCACCATAATCTAGAGCTGGAGGCTTATAAACTGTATTTTAGATAATTAAGTTTATATTCAGAAAGATGAAGTGGTTTGTTCTGTCACAAAATGGCTTAATTTGAAATTCTCAGGGGAATAATTTTTTTCTGGCAACTGAGACATGAAAAGATCAATTTACATTGTAATTTCATTTTGTTTTCCAATAATTCAGGAAAGTTATTATTAAGCAGGTTCTAAGTATGAAAGTCTCAATTCCATAAATTATCACTAACTAGTAGGACTAAGGGGTTTTTGTTATCATTTAAATTTGTTTTCAAGATCAGGGTTATGGAAGCCATTAATTAGCATAGCTTATTTCTCTCTGAGGAGTTATTTTAAAGTCATTGTACACCACCACCAACATAATATTCTATTATTTTCAACCTCTGATAATCTAATTGATCAATATATAACAATGTAGTGTGTTAAGTATTATTGTCAGTGTCCTATAGTGTTCAGCTTTGAATGTGGAAGCTTCCTCCAAATCTAAAAAAAGAAAAATAATTGAAGTGCAAATGATTTTTTGTTGTTATTGTTTATTCTACATTACACTATAGTCCTGGCTAAAGTATTACTTGCATATTAACTAAATCTATCTAAAAGTCATGGAGTTTTTGTAGGTGATAGGGAAAAGGGGGATTACTGGGTTGCTATATTTAACTGCTGGCATCTAACTAGGCCTCCCCAAAAATCTGACCATGTCTTTTACAAAATTAGTAGGACAACCACATAGTTTACCTTCTGTGATTTAATGAAAACCTCAATAATGCAAAGAGGTATTACTTTTGAATTTTAAAGTGTATAGTGCACAAAAGTTAGCTTGATTGCAAAGTTAAATATTGAAAGTTTCCTTATTAAAGGTTGTGCATAATCATACTAGCATTGAAAATTGTGTTCATAATAAAATTTTACTACATGGGTTCTCATTTCACTCATAGCACTTTTCAAATCTACACACTGAATGCAATAGTTAAAACTTTCTGAAGAGAACGAGTTAGGACAGATCACCTTGCAGAGTTTATAGAATCAAAGGAGAATATGGTTGCCTTTTAAAATTGAAATTTAACTGAAAAAATTTAGTAGTAGTTTACAAATCCTGCAAACATGGTAGGCATTTAAACTAAATTTAAAAATAGGACAAAATAAATAGATTTTAACTTTTTGGGGGGATAACTTCCCCCTGTTCCTGGCAAACTTGGTAGTTTAAATTGCAGCACTAGACATGCTTCAGAACTCTATATGGGTGAAGTAGTATATTGCTCAACAAGAAATAGCTAAAGGAAAAGGAATAAAAAAGTATCCTGAAATTTATTTTTACATAAGAATTTTTCCTTAAGGAAATGCCACTCTGAAAACACACAAGATTTTTACAGTAAGAGGGCACAGTGAGCGCCCAAAACTCGAATTAAGACCAAACAAAACTGTAACGGCTCCTTTACCTAATGCTTAATGCCTCCTATGACCAAGGGAAAAATTGACAATACACGCACACATGCACACTTGTCCCAATCTTTGTAGCTGGGAATTGAACTTGACCTTTACCCCCGCTCTAGCTCTCCAAATAGCGATCCTAGAAAAACTTAGATTTATCTAATTTCACCCACGTCAAAAAGAATGAAAGAAAACTTAAGTCTCTTGATATTACTCACCCCTTCTGTATGCTCTGCCTATGTACTAGCTATATCCCTGGAGCTGGGGACAGCGCAGATTGTCTCTGGATACCTAACCCCCACCTGTTCCCCAGGTGAAAATGAGATCAAGTTCCAAGGAATCTCCTCAAACTCCTTCCAACTTCTCTCAGGGATAAGCGGTATGAACTGGAATCCTCAGAAAATGAAGGGACTCGCAGTGGGGAATGGGGTATGGCAGGCAGAAGGTGGTCAGAGCAGACTAAATAGGGAGACAAGGCAAACCCAAGGGACCATGTAAAGAGGCCTAACACCAGAGTCAAGAACTTCTGGGCAGCCTGCGTTTTGTCGTCTTCCACATGTCCCCTTTTCTCCCCTTCACACACCCCATTTTCAAATCCTAGCAGGCAGAGAGGGCCACACTGGGAACAGATACCTTGCCGGTCAGGATCTGTGCTCTAATCGTGCGGCTCACCAGGACCTCCACGTCTTGCCGTGACTCCTCCTTCTGCACCCCTGAGGGGGTGTTGAAAGCGATTTTCACCATAGTGAATCTTCTGGCTGCGCAGTAAGGCGTGGCTGGATTCAGCGTCTTAGGCTGCAGGTTACAGGAGATCACACTTGCCCAAACACTACCTACTTTCTCACCAGTCTGCCTAATGTGACTGCAAACACAGGTCTGGGAATACTTATGGGGCACTCCCAAGATTGATGAGAGACTGTGGGCGGGCCCAGGGAGATGCTGGGGTGGGGGATGGCTCGAGTGCTCCAGTGGGGAGGGGTGGGAGTATGGGATGGTAAGTTGGCAGTGAAGAAGAGGAGGGGAAGTGGAGTCCATGGCCTGCTGGGGCTAAATGTTCCTCACCTGCACCCCATGCATGCTCCCACCCATCCTCTGCACCCTCAGATAAGAACAAGTCAGGAAGGAAGCCTGTGGTGTACTGTCTTTTTCTGCCTTCATCTAGACCACAATAGCCCCTGACTCTTACTCTGTTTTCCCAAAGTTGTGCTTGGCCCCCTGCAAGGGCCGGATAGTAACTTGGCACCAACCCCAGCTTCCTGAGCTCTGTACCCACACCCACCTAGGCCCCAAAAGCACAATTCTGTCAGTGTTCTGCACCTTTATAATAATATTTTCTCTTTAAAGAGCACCTAGAAGCTGGTTTATAGTTACTTGGTTCATTCTCTCAAAAGTTATTTTTTCTTGGGCTGGGGATTTAGCTCAGTGATTTTGCTGCCTGCTGCGCAAGAGCAAGGACTTGAGTTCAATCCCCGGTACCAAAAAAAAAAAAGTTATTTTTTCTTTATTGCATTGAAAGATGGGACTCCTGTCTCCTCATGTTCTCACTTTGCAGAAAGATCATGGGGTTACAGAGAAAGGTGGAAATCTCAAAATGAATCAGTAAAGTAATACAAATTTTTTTCACTCTTTCTGGTCAGAGAAACTAGAGGAAAGTCTTAGCTTAGTGGCTGTTTCTTGTAAGCTACCAACTATGAAGCCTACAGGGAAAAACAACGGTGTGTGTGTGTGTGTGTGTGTGTGTGTGTGTGTGTGTGTGTGTGGTGTGCATGCATGCATGGGTATGTGTACCTATTTTTTTAGGGAGAGAGGGGATACAAAATTTAGCCAGATGCTAATGCAACTCTAAGGTGGAAAACAAAACAAAGCAAATCCCAATAACTTTAAAGCAGCTGAGTAAGAAATCATTATTGGAAAATTCACATGGGCACCTAGGGTAATCGAGCTATTTCTCCAAAGTCAGTCCTCCCAGATTAATGATACTGATAGAGAACCTCATCATATGAAATTCAGGCTGCAGAGGTTGATGATTGTGAATTGTGGTAAAGAGTTTATAAATCGTCCTGCTGAAGAAGACAGAAGAGGATTCTCTTATGTGAAGACAATAACACAAAACAAATCCCAACAAAACGAAACACAGAATTTTCAAGGGAATTCCCCATCTACCCATCTGTTTAGCTAAAGAGGTTTGAATATGGGAAGAAGGCCTACTCCTCTGTCCAAAAAATTCCAACTTGAAGTCTTTCCCACTGAGGTTTCCTTCACTCTGAAGCCCTCTCCTATCTCTGCTGTGGGAGGTTTGTGAAGACTGCCTTCATTTTCTCAGATAAGTCACAGATGTGAAAATGGATAAAGGTGAACAGCAAGGACCCCATCCTTACATAAGACCAGAACCTCATGAAGCAGGATGTTTGATTTTGTTTAGAAACATTAGCATTTTGTGTTCTTTCATTTATTTTTACTCCAAGTCAGGCTATTATAATTTCACACTTGTAAGGCAATCTTTAGTGTAGGCAGAGGAAATCTTCCTAGTATTTTTCTCTTTACAGTTACTTTCTTTTTCAGAGCACCTTTATGACAACTCAGCTAGAATCTGTGCTACTTTGACTCTATGATCCACACTACATGCATAGCTAAATAAATGGTTGATCTTACATATTTATCTATGAAGTGCAGAATGATGGGCCAGATTCCAATATATTACCTTAGTATATCTTTTATGAATATAGGTAGGAGAAGCAGGAAATGTTTCCAAAAGAATAGACCCAAACTCTGATAGCAACAAAGGGAATATATGATCAGTTGCTGAATATATAATCTTAAGTAATTCACTTCATCTTAGGCTTCATTTTCCAACTGTGTATCTTGCTGCTATGGGGATATGTAACAATTCAGGTGGAAATACCATTTAAATTATTAGGAAAACAATAAAAGAGAGAAATGGTTGGGTATCCTAGGGTTATTTAGTATATAACATAACCCATGTTTTAAGCTGATAAAAATTATTTCAACTGTCCTTTAGCTTCTAGAGCTGCTTAAGATCTCATGGTATCTGAATATAATTCTTTTTATTAAAGTTCAAAATTTTAAGAATGGTCTCATATATTGACATATAGCTAAAATTCTGAATTTGAAGAATTTGTCTGTATTGAATTTGGTAACACTACATCCCCCTTCCAGAATTCCACCCATACCTCTCTAGGATCTTGCCACCACTGAACATATGTGATTCAGGCATTGTCCCAAGTTAGCAGATATCATCCCTACCCTCTCTGTATACACAGGTAATATCTGTGTTAGATCATAAAGTAGCCACAGTACCCATTGTTAAAGTCCATTTCAGGAAGGGCAAGTAATGCCTGTATTTTTTAAAATTTCAAAATATCAGCTCCCACATGTTCATTTGGATGAAGCAATAGTAAACATACTTTCATCTAATAAAAATGGATCTTATTTGTTGTTGTTGTTGTTGTTGTTTGAGAAAGAGTCTTGCTATGTAGTTCAGGCTGGTCTTGAACTCATGGCAATCTTCCTGCCTCAGCCTCCTAAGTACTGGGATTACAGGCACGTGCCACCATGCCCAGAAAAATGGATCTTATTGATTAATCTTTTTCTTATATTCTCTCTTTCCCAGAAAAAACTGCTCATTTCTTAGAATCAATTTCTCTCACTTACTTGTTTTTGGAAACCTTGGGGATCTGGTTGTCATGCTAAATTCAGCTCACATTGCAAATCATGTCTGAATGTACACCATTCAAGTTTACATGAATTTCCTGTTCTCAAATTACAGATGATGACTAAATTATTATAACTTGCATTGAATGGAACACAGCATACAATTGCATGACTAGCCATAATGTCAACTTTGTGTGAATGATATGCTGAAATTACCACAGATTCAAGGATGCAAAGCTGAAGCTATTAGGAACATCTGTGACACCATTTCTCTCATGAATTCATTTACTCATTTATCAAGTATTTACCAAGAATGTACTATATGCCTTCTACTACAATCACCATAGAAATACAGTGATAATCAACAGTTACAACACACATCACTTTGTCAATGGCAATAACATACATGTCACAGGTTCTTCAGTATTTGTAGTGAGAACACTGGCCCTATTCTGTGGAGTAGAGGGCAAAGAAACTAAAAATAAGCAGAGTTGTCCCACCTACTGTCAGTGCTACTGGAAATATTTAAATCCCTAGCTTGCTTGTTACAGCTTTACACCTAGTCCTCTATTGAAGAAAATTAATTTTTCAGAAAATGAATTGAGAAATCAATTAGGAGGCACTCATATATTCCAGGTGAGAGGTGATAGACTATACTGTGGAAGGTGGTGTTAGCTATGAAGATTCCATTTTAACTTTACCCTCCACCGTAAAGGACAAGATATCAGCTCTGGGAATACTCTGTCCCTGCCAAGCCAAATGCTTATCTTTAAAGATTGTCCTGTGCCATGATGAATGTTCTTTTACCCAGAGATATAAAGAACTAAAAGAACAGGGAAATTCTAGAGAATGGGGAAATTCCAAAGAAAAGAGAAGTGGGTGTTTCTGTATCAAGGCCAGGACTAAAAATAGCCACAGCCTGTTCAGTGTATAAAAGATCCAGGAAAAATAAACTTGGGCTCTCAGTCTCTCTGGGAGCCCTCCCGACTCTATCTCTGTGTCTTTCTTTTTCTTCATCCTCACTCCCCCATTCAGGTGCTGTTCGACAAGTGATGGCGGGCTCCTTCACTATACTAATGATTGAGATACTGCAAATAAAAAAACAACTTCCAAAGAGGTTTAGGACTCCTACTTTAAAAGGCTTGATGCTAGAAAAAAGGAGGAAAATTAGGATGCTTATATGCATATATGAAGGGGAAAAATGAGGAAAAAATTTTGTTTTGAATGATTGGAAATCAGAAACTTGAAAAATGGTAGTGCCCCTGGTAATTATACTAAACATTTATTGTACACCAAAAATTATGGTTTTGGCACTAAGACCTTTAAATTGATTACTTATTATTTTTAAAAATTAATTTAATGGGGGCCGGGGATTTAGCTCAGTGGTTCCAAGCACCTGCCTCAAAAGTGCAAGGTCCCGAGTTTGATCCCCGGTACCAAAAAAAAATTAATTTAATGGTACACTTTTGTTATACACAATGATCATATTCATCATAGAGAATTTTTACCTGTACATAATGTATCTTTATACTTCTTTTTTCCCCATTTCCCTCTAGTCCATTCAACCCTTCTTCCCCTCCTTTCTATCATTTTATTCTTTAAGTCAACTCTGGAAAACATTATTTTGTGCCCCCTTCATTTATGAGTAATCTGAATTTATGAGAAGTAGATAACTTTCCCAAAGTCAAATTCTATCTCAGGTTACCTGATTCCATTATTTCTATTCTAAACTATATTGCCTTCATGGCACCAAAACATGAAAATATCAAGAAGGGAATGGTTTTGAAAGTGGAAAAAATAATTTGTATATTATTTAAGGCAATAAGGGGTGAATTGCCTGCCTATTTTTTAAAACAGGGATTCTTGCTTAAGATTTTGATTATTATTAAGTGCATTTGGAATCCATTTAAAAGTTTCTCTCTTACTCATGAAAATGTACTACTCATCCTGAAGCATTTTTTCTGTGTTCTGCAGCTGTGTATGCTTCATTGTTGTTCATAGCAATTCTTGGCATCACTTGACAATTGGCTTTGTCAGACATCAATGACACTAGCCTAAAACCTTCAACCCAAGAGGAATGTTTAAAGGAAGCTGAGTGAGGTTACACCAGAATGAGATACCTTTTTAGCTGCCATGTACAGTTTTCAGGAGTGGGTAAGTAAGCATTTCACAGCCAAACTAAATTGAACATTTTATTAAAGCTTAAAAGCTTGAAAGTTA